CTCTTTATAGTAAGTGTAGTTAAAATCAGAAGCTGGATACATACTAGTATCCTGGCTGGTAGACATTGGCATAACCATCTCAGTGCATGCCTGTAAGTGGAAAGAAAACAAAGCAAAGGATTTCAGTTTAGTGTGACAGACTTGAGCAACATTTTTTGTAATAGTTCACACTCACAGCAAATTCTCATTTCTAATTTTAGAAAGAAATGGAACTCATAAATTCATAATACGAGCACTTCTGGACCTGCCAGTTCCATCCATCCAAGCCATGAGGGTCATCATCCAGCTGAAAGCAGTCATATTCTCCGGTGTAATTGTAATATACATTTACTCCTTCAAATATCCGCTCTAGAACACTAGTCCCTTCAGGGCAGTTGTCAATTTTTCTGCAAACCTGCAGACAAAAAAAGAAGAAGAAAACAAAAAGAAATTATCAGACAGCATTGCTCATAACATAAGTCACTATATAAGTTTCTGCAAGCATGTCCTCAAGCTAACCTCTTTTATGGGATTTCCTGGCAAAGGCATCATAAAATTGGCCGGATATGGATAGTTAACCATTGCTAAATAACTATAAGCAGAGTCCAACCAATTATAAAGGTCATCTACTCTTTCCAGTTTCCTGCCATCCGTTTGTTTATCAGACCAAATGATGAAAAATAACAAATCAGCAGTCAGGACAGTCACATGAGTCCGCAAGCTCATCTGCATGGGATTGAAAACAAACATTGCATGTACAACTTACTGGCAGAAGTGGAAAGTCTTAGTCAGTTGCATAAGTCCATCATTTTTTGAACCCTCAGATTCTAGTGCATCCCATGACTCTTTTATGGTGTTGAAGCAGCTAGTACTTTCATGCTGAGTAGATAAGAGGGAAGCAGTCTCACATACACTTACAATTACAGCAGAAAAATAAAAAAGACAAGAATAAAGTCTAGAGAGGAACACACTCGGAAACTATTGGAGACAATGTCATAAAACGTTTCGGGTGGCACAATATCTTCAAATTGAAGGATGGGTGCTGAAGAAGCAAGTGCACCAATTGCAATGTGAGGATATTTGAGACGCATCCATGCCGCCAACACTGTTCAGTTCAAAGACAGAACATTCAATATCGCTCACATCTTTAGTATACCAAGCACACAGAATGATAAACTGTTTTGAGTTTCTCCTCATCCACAACTAACTAGAGATAATAACTGTGTCTTACTTCCACCATATGATCCGCCAAATAACACAACAGGGCAAGCCTGAGCTGACAAGTTTTGTTTCAGGTTTGTAATCAACACCGCGAAATCAGCAATTGCTTGTTCGGTTGTGAGATGTGATAAAGTAGTAGCATTCTTATATGCTTCATCTAGACTTCCATAGGGCACTGACTCGCCGTAGTATCGATGCTGCCAATGAAGTTCCCAAGTCAAGGTGTATAACATAGAGAAACTAGTCACCCAAAAAGAACAAAAAAACATGGACAAACTAGACTGATAGTTCATTCTGCAACTTTTACCAAAATGGTAAAATATCATACAAACAGAATTTCCAAACATGTTATATGGAAACACTAACTATTGTGGCTCATAAATTTTAAAAAATGCTAGAGTCACATAATTTTGGATGACATTTCTTGATAATGTTTGTAAAAATCATTCTCCTTAACAAAAACTAAACAATCAAATGAATATCAAATGAATAAAATGACCTGGATTGACAAAAATAAATAATAAAATGGTGCATCCAATCAGGATGCTGCAATTCCTCCTTTGTGTTTCGTAATTTGCTAGAGAACGTAAGAAAAGAAACAAAAGAGAAAATTCCATACAAGATCCCCAGCTATTACGATTTGTAATTTACAGAACATTTTTCTTCTCTTGAACTTGAGCTCCTCGTTCTGCTATATTTTCTGATTTGTAATCTAACCGAAAACAACTCTCTCTCTCTCTCTCTCTCTCAACACTAATATACAATCAAAGCTTGCTTCTATTCGATCAATTCCAAATGCCGAAAAAACAAAACAAGCGCGAAAATAAAAACATATAACTACAGATATGATCGTCTTACTTCAGGGAAGATGACCATGGCGCCGAACCGAGGGGCGAGTTCCCAAACGAGCCCGGTGTTCTCCGCGAACCACACAATCTCCCCCTCGTTCCCGCAGTAGAGAAAGATGGGTCCCATGAGATTGGGACCCACCCAATGCTCCGTATTAATAAGGTACCGCTGCCGGAACGTCGGGAGATCATCGGAGAAGCTGAAGTGGTCGAGACTCTGCTCGAAATACCGGGTCTCGTACCTGTATTCCTGCTGTTGCTGTTGTGTTCGTTGCTTTGTTGTCAATTGGGGTTTATTGGGGCGTGAGAATCTGGTGGGGAAGCGAGGAGGGGTTCGCTTGGAGGAGCGGAAGTGCGATGATTGGGATGAGGAGAGAGGGAGGAGGAGGAGAGAGAGTAAGATTAGAGAGAGAAGGAGAGGCTTGGTTGTGGTCGACGGTGGTCTCGCCATGGGCGAACGAGTTCACGGAGAGTCAGAATCGGAGACCCCTGCGAATCGTAGCGACGAGGAGTGAAAAGTGAGCCCGTCCGGCTAAATAAGGGGATTGGCTTTTTTGCCTTTATTCAAATTCTTTTTGTATTTGTGAGTTTTTCGTTAATTTTTTAAAAATGACGAGAGAAATTTTAAAAGTGAAAAATTATGATCGAAATTCAATTTTTTTTGAATAAATGCGAAAAAAGTAGCTTATTGACTTAATTCTGTCTTTCTATCATAAATTTTTACTTTTTAAATTCCACTCGTCTTGACGATATAATAATTTCTAAAAAATTGACAATAAACTAACAAATATGAAAAAAAATTGAATAAGAATAAAAAAATCAGCTAATTGACTTATTTAGCCGAACGGACCTCGTTTGGGTTACCTTTTCTAAATTCTAATCTTTTTATTTAGGGAAGGTAGTGGGGAAAAAGATTTCGTCTAAAAACCTTTATTCTAATCTTTTTAATTAGGGAAGGGAGCGGGGAAAAAGATTTCGTCCAAAAACCAAAAAGGGGTGCAACACGAGGACTTCCCAGGGGGTCACCCATCCTAGTACTACTCTCGCCCAAGCACGCTTAACTGCGGAGTTCTGATGGGATCCGGTGCATTAGTGCTGGTATGATCGCACCCGTAATTTTGTCGTCTTTCAATTCATTTGTTCCATCAGTAGGACCACCGCCATGCGTTGCTTTCTCAGCACCGAGCTTCCTTAGTCACGCCTCGCCGACCGGACCCCGCATCGCGTTGGAGGGCTGTCTAGGGCCGGGCGTGCCCGTTCAAGAGATAGTTTTTTCTCCGAGCCCAAAAAGTCGCAAACCGGAAGCCCTCGACGAGACGAGCAGAATTGGCGGCGAGCAAAGAGAAGGGGGAAGGGAGCGGGGAAAAAGATTTCGTCCAAAAACCAAAAAGGGGTGCAACACGAGGACTTCCCAGGGGGTCACCCATCCTAGTACTACTCTCGCCCAAGCACGCTTAACTGCGGAGTTCTGATGGGATCCGGTGCATTAGTGCTGGTATGATCGCACCCGAAATTTTGTCGTCTTTCAATTCATTTGTTCCATCAATAGGACCACCGCCACGCATTGCTCTCTCAGCAACGATCTTTCTTGGTCGCGCCTCGCCGACCGGACCCCGCATCGCGTTGGAGGGCTCTATAGGGCCGAGCGTGCCCGTTCAAGAGATAGTGTTTTCCGCGAGCCCAAAAAGTCGCAAACCGGAAGCCCTCGACGAGACGAGCAGAACTGGCGGCGAGCAAAGAGAAGGGGGAAGGGAGCGGGGAAAAAGATTTCGTCCAAAAACCAAAAAGGGGTGCAACACGAGGACTTCCCAGGGGGTCACCCATCCTAGTACTACTCTCGCCCAAGCACGCTTAACTGCGGAGTTCTGATGGGATCCGGTGCATTAGTGCTGGTATGATCGCACCCGAAATTTTGTCGTCTTTCAATTCATTTGTTCCATCAATAGGACCACCGCCACGCATTGCTCTCTCAGCAACGATCTTTCTTGGTCGCGCCTCGCCGACCGGACCCCGCATCGCGCTGAGGGCTCTATAGGCCGAGCGTGTCTGCTCAAGAGATAGTTTTTTCTCCGAGCCCAAAAAGTCGCAAACCGGAAGCCCTCGACGAGACGAGCGTAACCGGGCGGCGAGCAAAGAGAAGGGGAAGGGAGCGGGGAAGATTTCGTCCAAAAACCAAAAAGGGTGCAACACGAGGACTTGGGGGTCACCCATCCTAGTACTACTCTCGCCCAAGCACGCTTAACTGCGGTTCGATGGGATCCGTGCATTAGTGCCGGTATGATCGCACCCAAATTTTTGTGTTTTTCAATTCATTTGTTCCATCAATAGGACCACCGCCACGCATTGCTCTCTCAGCAACGATCTTTCTTGGTCGCGCCTGCATCGCGTTGGAGGGCTCTATAGGGCCGAGCGTGCCCGTTCAAGAGATAGTGTTTTCCGCGAGCCCAAAAAGTCGCAAACCGGAAGCCCTCGACGAGACGAGCAGAACTGGCGGCGAGCAAAGAGAAGGGGGAAGGGAGCGGGGAAAAAGATTTCGTCCAAAAACCAAAAAGGGGTGCAACACGAGGACTTCCCAGGGGGTCACCCATCCTAGTACTACTCTCGCCCAAGCACGCTTAACTGCGGAGTTCTGATGGGATCCGGTGCATTAGTGCTGGTATGATCGCACCCGAAATGCTTCCCTCTTTCAATTCATTTGTTCCATCAATAGGACCACCGCCATGCGTTGCTTTCTCAGCAACGAGCTTTCTTGGTCCCGCCTCGCCGACCGGACCCCGCATCGCGTTGGAGGGCTCTATAGGGCCGAGCGTGCCCGTTCAAGAGATAGTTTTTTCTCCGAGCCCAAAAAGTCGCAAACCGGAAGCCCTCGACGAGACGAGCAGAACTGGCGGCGAGCAAAGAGAAGGGGGAAGGGAGCGGGGAAAAAGATTTCGTCCAAAAACCAAAAAGGGGTGCAACACGAGGACTTCCCAGGGGGTCACCCATCCTAGTACTACTCTCGCCATACATATGCGAATTACGATGGGATCACGGTGCATTAGTCTTTGCTTTGATCGCTGAGAAATGCTTCCCTCCTTCAATTCATTGTTCCATCATTAGGACCACCGTAGTGCATTTTTCTTTCTGTGACGAGCTTTCTTGATCACGCTCGCCAACGACCCGCATCGCGTTGGAGGCTCTCAGGCAGCGTGCGGATTCAGAAATAGTTTTTTCTCGAGCCCAAAAAGTATGGCCGGAAGCCCTCGGCGAGGCCGGCGGAGGCGGCGAGGAAAAGAAGAAGAGGAGGAGTGGAAAAGATGCCGTCAAAACCCAAAAGGGGTGCGACCACGAGAGACTTCCGGTCACCAATCTGATACTACTGCTTAAGCACGACTTAAGCTGCGGAGTGCAGTGGGATCCGGTGCATTAATCTTGGTATAATCGCGCACCAGCATTTTGTAAACCTATTCATTTATTCCATCTAGCCGATTACTGCATCACGCGATCTTTCATCAACGAACTTTACAGTGCGAGTTACGATGGGATCGGTGCATCCAATTCATTTGTTCCATCAAAAGGACCACCGCCATGCTTCCCTCTTTCAATTCATTTGTTCCATCAGTAGGACCACCGCCATGCATTTTCTTTCTCATCGACGAGCTTTCTTAGTCACGCCTCGACTGACCCCTCGCGTTGGAGGCTCTCGAGGGCAGCGTGCCGTTCGAGGAGATAGTTTTTCTCAGGAGCCCAAAAGTCGCATAAGCCGGAAGCCTCGGCGAGGCAGCGGGCGGCGAGGAAAGAGAAGGGGAGGAGTGGGAAAAGATTTCGTCAAAACCAAAGGGTGCCGGCGAGGCAGCGGGCGGCGTACTCTCGCCCAAGCAGCTTAAGCTGCGGAGTTACGATGGGATCCGGTGCATTAGTCTTTGGTATCGCACCCGAAATGCTTCCCCCTTCAATTCATTTGGATGGGATCCGGTGCATTAGTCTTTTGCATTTTCTTTCTCAGCGACGAGCTTTCTTAGTCACGCCTCGCCCGACGACCCGCATCAGCGTTGGAGGCTCGAGGCGGCGTGCCGTTAGGAGATGGATTTTTCTCGAGCCCAAGAAGTGCATAAGCAAAGCCCTCGGCCGAGGCAATGAGCGGCCCGGCCGATGAAAGAGAAGAAGGAGGGTGGGAAAAGATTTGTCAAAACCAAAGGGTGCAACGAGGAGCTTCCGAGGGTCGCCATCCTAGTACTACTCTGCTTAAACGACAGCTAGCAGATTCCCGATGGGATCGGTGCATTAGTCTTTGGTGTGATCGCCTGAATGCTTCCCCACTTGGTCGTTTGTTCCGTCAATAGGACAACGCCATGCATTTTAACGGCAGGCTTTCTTAGTCACCTTTCGCCGACGACCCATCAGCGTTGGAGACTCGAGGCGAAGCGTGCCCGTTCGAGGAGATAGTTTTCTCAGGCCGTCGCAAACCCGGAAGCCCTCGGCGAAGACAGCCGGAGAGCGCGAGGAAAGAGAAGAGGAGGAGCGGCGCCCCTCTACGAAAGCCAAAAAAGGGTGCAACACGAGGACTTCAGTCACCATCTGAGTCTCGCCCAGTAGCAAGCTGGAGTTACGATGGGATCGGTGCATTAGTCTTTGATATGATCAACGCAATCTTCCCCGCCGATTCATTTGTTCCGTGAAATAGATTGCCATGTTACATTTTCTTTCAGCCCGACCGAGCTTCTGCTTGAATCACGCTCTTGACTGACCACTTGTCGCGTTGGAGGCTCGAGGCGGCGTGCCAGTTGAGGAGATAGTTTTCTCAGAGGCTCAAAGTCGCAAACCGGAAGCCTTCGACGAGACGAGCGGTGCAACACGAGGACTTCCCAGGGGGTCACCCATCCTAGTACTACTCTCGCCCAAGCACGCTTAACTGCGGAGTTCAGATGGGATCCGGTGCATTAGTGCTGGTATGATCGCACCCGAAATGATTCACTCTTACAATACATATGTTCGATCAGTAGGACCACCCCCATGCATTTTCTTTCTCGACGAGCTTTCTTATCACGCCTCGCCGACGACCCGCATCGCGTTGGAGGCTCTCGAGGCCGGCGTGCCGTTAGAGATAGTTTTCTCCGAGTCGCAAACCGGAAGCCCTCGACGAGACGAGCAGAACTGGCGGCGAGCAAAGAGAAGGGGGAAGGGAGCGGGGAAAAAGATTTCGTCCAAAAACCAAAAAGGGGTGCAACACGAGGACTTCCCAGGGGGTCACCCATCCTAGTACTACTCTCGCCCAAGCACGCTTAACTGCGGAGTTCTGATGGGATCCGGTGCATTAGTGCTGGTATGATCGCACCCGAAATGCTTCCCTCTTTCAATTCATTTGTTCCATCAATAGGACCACCGCCATGCATTTTCTTTCTCAACGACGAGCTTTCTTAGTCACGCCTCGCCGACGACCCGCGTCGCGTTGGAGGCTCGAGGGCGGCGTGCCGTTCGAGAGATAGTTTTCTCAGAGCCCAAAAGTCATAACCGGAAGCCCTCGGCGAGGCAGCGGGCGGCGAGGAAAGAGAAGGGGAGGAGTGGGGAAAAGATTTCGTCAAAACCAAAAAGGGTGCAACACGAGGACTTCCCGGGTCAACCATCCTAGTACTACTCTCGCCCAAGCACGCTTAACTGCGGAGTTCCGATGGGATCCGGTGCATTAGTCTTTGGTAGATCGCACCCGAAATGCTTCCCCCTTCAATTCATTTGTTCCATCAATGGGAGAAAAGGGAGGGGAGTGGGGAAAAAGATTTCGTCAGAAAACCAAAAAGGGGCCATCCATAGGACCACCGCCATGCATTTTCTTTCGGCGACGAGCTTTCTTAGTCACGCCTCGCCGACGACCCGCATCGCGTTGGAGAGACTCGAGGCGGCGTGCCGTTCGGAGATAGTTTTCTCAGAGCCCAAAAATCATAAGGGAAGCCCTCGGCGAGGCAGCGGGCGGCGGCGAGGAAAGAGAAGGGGAGGAGTGGGGAAAAGATTTCGTCCGAAAAAAAGGGTGCAACACGAGGACTTCCCGGGGGGTCACCCATCCTAGTACTACCCCAAAGCACGCTTAACTGCGGAGTTCCGATGGGATCCGGTGCATTAGTCTTTGGTATGATCGCACCGAAATGCTTCCCCAGATTCATTTGTGGGATCCGGTGCATTAGTCTTCATCAATAGGACCACCATGCATTTTCTTTCTCGGCAGAGCTTTCTTGAGTCACGCCTCGCCGACTGACCCGCATCGCGTTGGAGGCTCTCGAGGGCGGCGTGCCCGTTCGGAGATAGTTTTCTCAGAGCCCAAAAGTCATAAGCCGGAAGCCCTCGGCGAGGCAGCGGGCGGCGAGGAAAGAGAAGGGAGGAGTGGGGAAAAGATTTCGTCCGAAAACCAAGGGTGCAACACGAGGACTTCGCAGGGTCAACCATCCTAGTACTACTCTCGCCCAAGCACGCTTAACGCGGAGTTTTGATGGGATCCGGTGCATTAGTCTTGGTATATCGCACCCGAAATGCTTCCCCCTTCAATTCATTTGTTCCATCAATAGGACCACCGCCATGCATTTTCTTTCTCAGCGACGAGCTTTCTTAGTCACGCCTCGCCGACGACCAGTCGCGTTGGAGGCTCTCGAGGGCGGCGTGCCGTTCGAGAGATAGTTTTTCTCGAGCCCAAAAAGTCATAAGCCGGAAGCCCTCGGCGAGGCAGCGCGGCGGCGAGAAGAGAAGAGGAGGAGTGGGGAAAAGATTTGTCAAAACCAAAGGGTGCAACACGAGGACTTCGAGTCACCCATCCTAGTACTACTCTCGCCCAAACACGCTTAACTGCGGAGTTCCGATGGGATCCGGTGCATTAGTCTTTGGTATGATCGCATTCAATTCATTTCTTCCATCAATAGGACCACCGCCATGCATTTTCTTTCTCGGACGAGCTTTCTTAGTCACGCCTCGCCGACTGGACCCCGCATCGCGGCTGGCTAGGGCCGGGCGTGCCCGTTCGAGAGATAGTTTTTCTCAGAGCCCAAAAGTCATGGCGGAAGCCTCGGCGAGGCAGCGGAGGCGCGGCGAGGAAGAGAAGGGGAGGAGTGGGGAAAAGATTTCGTCCGAAAAAAAAGGGTGCAACACGAGGACTTCAGTCACCCATCCTAGTACTACTCGCGCCCAAGCACGCAACTGCGGAGTTTTGATGGGATCCGGTGCATTAGTCTTGTGTACGCACCCGAAATGCTTCCCCCTTCAATTCATGATGGGATCCGGTGCATTAGTCTTTGGTAGTCCATCAATAGGACCACCGCCATGCATTTTCTTTCTCGGCCGACGAGCTTTAGTCACGCCGACCGACTCCCGTGATCGTTGAGGGCTCTCTAGGCCGAGCGTGTCTGCTCAGAGATAGTTTTTTCTCCGAGCCCAAAAGTCGCAAACCGGAAGCCCTCGACCAGCAAAAAAATAAAATGTGAAAGAGAAGGGAGGGAGCTGGGGGTAATGTGAGAAAAATGGGAGGGTGCAACACGTGGACTTCCCAAGCGGTCACCCATCCTAGTACTACTCTCGCCCAAGCACGCTTAACTGCAGTTCTCACTGGGATCCGGCATTATGCCGGTATGATCGCACCCAAAATGCTTCCCCCCTTCAATTCATTTGTTCCATCAATAGACCACCGCCATGCATTTTCTTTCTCAACGACGAGATTTCTTAGTCACGCCTGGCCGAGCCGAACGGACCTCGTTTGGGTTACCTTTTCTAAATTCTAATCTTTTTATTTAGGGAAGGTACTGGGGAAAAAGATTTCGTCTAAAAACCTTTATTCTAATCTTTTTATTTAGGGAAGGTAGTGGGGAAAAATATTTCGTCCAAAAATCAAAAAGGGGTGTAACACGAGGATTTCCCAGGGGGTCACCCATCCTAGTACTACTCTCGCCAAGCACGGTTAACTGCTGCGGAGTTCTGATGGGATCCGGTGCATTAGTACTGGTATGATCGCACCCAAAATTTTGTCGTCTTTCAATTCATTTGTTCCATCAATAGGACCACCGCCACGCATTGCTTTCTCAGCAACGAGCTTTTCTGGTCACGCCT